AGATAATTAAATTATACATACTCACGTTCATTTCCATCTCATCAAAAACCACTTCTGCTTTCGGTAATTGATGCAACAAAAATTCTAAAATCCACTAGTTCTGTCGTTGACACTAACCGTACCTCGGCCAGTAGCTGAAAAATGAAGGGGCAGGAATTTTAAGTCAAATTAAGAATTGGTGATAAGTATATCAAGAGGAATATTGAGAAGACTAGAGGGATAAACGGCAACATCGAATGCAGAGATTTTAGTAAAAAATTTGGGAACGGTCATTTAAGCTGCTTTAAATTTGAAACGAAAATTTAAACGAACTTTAAATTTTAACTGGTTACCACCAGTACCAGAATATGACGATGATAATTGTGACAGTAATGATAACGTGATGTTGAATATGAATTTCATGAGGAAACTATGCACCATAATCAGTGATTATAACATCTCGATGACGAACAACGATATCACAATGAAAACTACGATGATCATGTTTATGATAACGATACCAACACGAAGAATATCAGGATGATGATTGTGATAGCATGTCAACCACTCCCTCTGGATAACCTCCTCCTTCTCACGCAATCGTATACTCAGAGTGTCCCGTGCGATTGTCCTCGTAGAAAAATCAGACCTGACGGAAGAGCTCGGCGCAAGGGTGGCGATAAACAAACGCTAATCCATAAATCCTGCGGCAAACGGCAGAAAGCACGCGCTATATATGCGCGACGGCCGACTCGAGACGTATCAGTGCCGCGTCTGCTGCAATATCGATAAAACATTGATCCCCCATTCGTGCCTGAAGCCCGCTGTATAGGATTCGCACGGCCGCCGCGTGCACCACACACGTGCACGCCGGCTGCTCGTGCATACGGGAACACCGTTTCCACGGGATTATATCCGACTGCACGCCATGCGTGCACCTCCTGCACGGCGCCCTGTGTACGTGTATACATATTTACCCCGCCACCACCACCCTCCTCGTCTATCTCTTCCACCCCTTGGCGGTATGTAGTCGGGGCTACGCGTCTGCCCGTATCGCGATCCGCACGCGAATCACGAAGACCGCGCCGCCAGGAATTCGACGATGATGGAATTTGGGTCGACGGTCGGACGATCTTCCTTCCGTTCTCTTTTTCTCTCTTTCTTTCTTTTCGGTGTTGGATTCTTCTTTCTTTTTGACGGAGGCAAGCAGGTAGGCGGAGTGTGAGTTAAACACGAGAATCGAACAGGGTGCAACGAACTCGAGTCTAAGGAATGATTTTAACGCAATTTCGACAATGTTGATGTGGTTTCGCGAGGCATGGTTGAAGGACTCATTTTTGGCCGTTGCAATGTGTTCACTGGATTTGGGGTTGGTCGGATAATTATGATCCGATTATGATTGGGAGAATGTAATCTTCGTGATGCATCTATGTTCTTCCGTTATTTCCATACTGTCCCGAGTATGGGAATAGGAGGATGGTTCAATAATAGTAGAACACAATTTTACTATGTATTAAGTTATCTTAATGATAGAGGATAGAGCAGGAGACCTTTTACTGCACTTATATTCTGTTCTCTGCTAATTTAAATCCATAAACTAATTGATACCTAACATAGTAATCTTTCATCCTGTGCAATGACATGTTTTACCTCAACCATGTAAGATTGTCTGCTTTTCATCCTTTCTTAACTCTTTGGGGCACGCTGAGATTAAATGTGTCCCACCTATTCGTTGCACCGTAATGCATGGTGGGACATTTTCAGTCCCACCTCGAAATATTGCAATAGCTGCATGCGCACAGGTTTATATTTCGTCTTATTTACGTAAAACAGTTGGTAATACCTTCAACAAATGTTATAAATGTATTCGCTTGTGTTGGCAACATTCAACATGCCCGTACAGGTTCACCAATTGTAAGCGGCAAATGTTATTGCGACAATCTTTTTTCCTGGTTTTATGTTTTTACAGCATGTGATTCCTTTATTAGTAAGAATCTACCGATTTTGTTTCATTTAAAACGCAATAAAATTTCTAGGCAACACGAGCCTATTTTGTTATCTGCAATCCTGTGCCGCAGAGTTAAACTGTCTACTCCCGATCCTTGTATGAATCCTTGTAACCGTGGTCCCCTCGCACAAACACCTGTATCGTATCCAGAATTGAAATCCATCCACTTCGCAGCTTTCTCCAATTCAGCTGCTTAAACGCTCCAGCGGGTGCGTCGATTTGAAAAACAGATCTCATTAACCCGGCCACTCCAAACTCTCTTAGCCATGCGCGATTAAGGCGAATACGGCATCAAACGAAGCTTTAACATCCCGGACTCACCCGAATCACCTTCCACTCTTCCGCCACCCCTAGAGACTTTGTATTTATGACGAACTATGAAACCCAAAGTAATCGCGAGGACGTACTATCCCGTCTGAGCCCAGAAGCACGCGGTACACTCGCGTCCCATTGATGTCGGATTAATTTTATTCCCCGCTGCTCTGCGTCTCCGGTTCGCGATCATCTTTTCCGTTTAACATCCGGATCAAAGCGGCGGAAATCACGCCGGCATAATCGCGCGCGATTCCGCGGTGGCCCGGTGTCCCCAGACAGGCAGCAGAGACGAGTGGTGGGAGCCAGGTGGGGTGGCGCCCGCTTCTTGGCGGATCAAAGCGCGGATTTCCGTCGAGGCAACGAATTGGCAAACTTCTCTCTGAAGATAGAACAGTAATTATAAGGTCGACGACGACACGAGAGAGGGGCGAGAAGCGACAGACGAACGATGGTCTCAAACACTGCGGTGCAAAATTCACAATCTAATTCAACTAAGCAAATTACTGGCAACTTCCTGGGCGGCAGCTACGCACGCTGTCCCTTCGGCCTGCATTCCCAGAAACTTAGATCAAAGGGGCCGACGGATCTCCACCCACGGCCATTTTCTCCACCCTTTCGCCTCCCTTTTGCCACGACCCCGGCTCTTTCCGCCTCCTGTTTCGGAATATCGCTCAGGCCCCCTTTCATCTCCGCGTTTCATACTTCCGGCCTGTCTGTCGCGCCCGACGACGCGCCGAATATCGAATTCTGGCTGCTTGACCGGTGGCCCCGACGAGACTCGTCTACGGCCGCTCGAACATGGTCCATCTGGAATAGTCAGGGCGGGGTTAGAAGGGGTCGCTGTAGCAGCCTGAGTAACAGGTTACGCAACCCCTGTTTCGTCCGCAGCGAAGGAGAAGGAGAAGATAGATGGGGTGGGCTGGTGGATGCTTTTGTTGCGTGACTAAGGTTCGTGGGACCGGGACCAAGGGGTAGAGGGGAATTTGGCCGATACGTGATGTCCGATATTGTTACGGAGGATATCTTTGTTGCTTTTTGCCAGATTGGATCGTGGAATTAAGTTGTTTCAGAGAGAGGCAGGTGTGCAAATGTAAATCGAATGTTAAATTGCTTTCAAACGTCGTAGATAACTATGATATGTGGCATCGTATTTGGTGGATTGACTTAAGGTAGTATTGTTGGCTTCTTAATAGAATCAAATAAGCTTATAAATGGAATGACGGCGGCTGGCTATGAAACAAGAGAGATTCGCTATGGGCACATTCTTCTGATCTTTCTTGAAACTGACTATTGCAACTGACTTTAGAAATTGTAATTGATAGACTGTCTCTGCAAATACTCTTAGACTTTGGCATACGCTTATACTGAAACTATCTTAGACTGACTCGTCCGTGCTCTTGCACACTTATTTAAACCGTTCATTCTGTCCTCTTTCACGCCCAGGCTTTCTTCCCCAATTATGCCCTTTCCCACGCAACCCTGGCGGACCAGGTACTTCAACCACTCCAGACACATCCCTAAACTTTCACTCGACTCTATGGTAAACATTCTTTGCAGTTAATCCTCTTGCTTGTAGTCACTTTCGTTCTAAGTCCAAACACTCTTGACATTCCATCAAGGCTGTACTCGTTCCAATCCTACAGATATGATAATTTAGAATGGTTTTTAGGGTGCGTTATTTGGGGTTATTGCTCAGGATTCTTAGCGTTAGAAAATATCATTAGTGTGGAACAAAAATCAATCTTCTGCAAAAAATGTGTACCATATCTGAAAAATGTGACACAACTAATAACTAACAATGAATAACGAAATGAAACACTCATGGCTGAGAATTGTGAAGCGAGAACAGCTAACTAACGTGTGACATGCGATAATTTGTAATAAATGTATGTATTAATTACAAAGTGCTCAGTGAAGCACACCTCGTATGGCCCCTAACACCGTCAAAATCTATCGTGAGTAGTCAAAAACACCCTCGGGCCCCCATTTGTATCTCCTAGCACCATGTGTCGCGCAAATAGCGGCAGACAAGGCCGATAGGGATGCTGACGAATGCACGGAGACGCGTGTAGCAGGGGAAGGAGGATATGGGGTGGGAGGCAACACTTCCGGGACGCAATATCATTCGGAACGAGGCAGACTGTAATTCCCACTTGCTTGGTCTTCGGAGGTAGCAGAAGCTGCGTTTGTTGATTATCCGGCCGGTAAACAGGGCGCATTGTTATCGATTGGGCCAACAATCTGCCGCCCCCTCATATTGACGCAATACTGCCTCGCACTTGCATAATGAATGGTTGGCTAATGACCCTACGGAGGTTGCGGAAACCGCAGCCAGAGGATGGTAGGCCCGGGCCTCGAAGCACTTCCGGCATCAAACATGCACCGCTCGCGGATCCTCGGAATCCACGGGGTCTCCAGCCGACTCGGCCGTGTATCGTTCCAACTCCGTTCTGTAATAGGAACGCGGGGCCGACTTTAATTCTTCATTAACCCAGAGCCAACAGAGAGCTCCGTGCAAGCATGGCCAGATACCGTATGCTTGGATATCCGGCGCACGATACCGTTCGTAAATTTATTAAGCTCGGGTGTAAATGCAACGAAGACTGTTCGTTGGGACGAAACAGAGATTTGTGGGTCCACGAATTTGGGTCTGTTCGGTTTCACCGATTCGTTTCGCGAAAATTAGGATGCTTAAACAATGACAGCATGTGTCACTTGTGTAAAATAGTATGTAAGTAATGTACGCAATTGTGTGCTTTTGTAGACCTCTTACATGACCTGGTTCTCTTGTTTTCAGTTCTGCTGAGCACGTGGACGCCAGCAAACAGATTCTGACTACCAGTCTGACGTGTCATTGTAAGTACATTATCTGCTTTATACAAGTCGTGAAATTACAGACTTAGACTGAATTTATTTAGTTATTTGCAATCTACCAGACAGTAATCGATAAATCATCTGTCTAATGTTAAGAAGTACATAGGTCCACACCGTTTTATATTTTAACCGAATGTTTTGGTGAAATCTGATAGCTTGGTGCATTTTCATCTTCTGGTAGGTGGCCTGCGACTTGATTAGAGTTCTTACAGAGTCTTCAGATTGGTTTTGATATGGATTTATACATTATTTCTTATCTAAAGAGTTAAGTACTAGTACTGTCACTAAAATGTAACGAACATCCATTTAATTCGATAATGTTTAGCCTGAGAAATGTTATAAAGATTAACCAAAAGTTACGTTAGGGTTGTCTGAAAGAATTTCTCAAGTTCACGGCACAAAATAATAATTCCCATGATCCATATTTGTATTTAAACTATCGTACAATTCTTACCTCCGTGCAGCCCAAAACAAATCTCTCTGACCTCTCGAGTGTTTACCACACTGCTGCAAAATAGCAAGTGCATAGTACTGTCACTAACGAACTACTCAGCCTAATCAAATTGCTACGAATTACAGTCCCGAGTTCTAGAAAGAAAGCGAGATGCGAAACTCGAAACCCGTCTCCCGGTGAGTCACGCGCGCCAGCCGCCATGTTGCGGTCGCCGCGCGCAACTTTGTCCCCGATTAATAAGTCGTCGTGCTGATTCCTTTGTGCCCGGCTTTCCATCACTTCCGCGGTACCTGCGAGGATATGACTTTCCCGCTTCTGCTCGGAAGTTTCACTTCTACACCAGGGTCCGCGCACGCAATAACGACTCTAATCTCCTTACGTCGTCCCGAGCTGTTTTTCCCATGGCCCGAACGAAAGTGCTTTTGCCGTTGACCAGTCGGCTATAAGGGACTTACAATTTACTTGCGAGTAAGAGGCTTTATGCGGTGCACCGCGCGTAAAACGTCGCGCCGGGGACTTTACTTAACGTTCGTTCCGCTTTGCATTCTCGCGCTATGGGGTATCCAGGAAAGTAGCGGCATAGCTTTATATCGCGGACTACGCCTCTGACTTTTCGCGAATCGCGCTCGGACCGTCGTTAGGATGGGAAGGAGGAGGTGGGAAATGTGGAGGAGGAAGCTTTTTCTCGGATGCTAGGAACGAAACCAGGAATTATATACGATCCGGAAGAGGCGGTCACCGACTAAAGGGGAATGTTTTTGCGAGTCTTGGGAAACGAGCATCGTTACGGTTCTCGTTCCGAGGCGGTAATAGCCCCTTTGGATTGCTGGTGTTATAGTCTGGGGGTAATTCGGTGACGTTTAATATCGGCGGGGCGAGCTTTCGCTCTTGGCTAAATGATTAATCCAAGTGAATTTTGGTAGATTGATATTGCTGATGCTGAATCATGACAGGGTTTCGGGAAGAGAGTGTGCTTGAAGTTAAAATGTTTAAACTGTCTTAAGTTCGTGTAATGGAGTTTTTGGAAATTCTCTTCTTCTGTCTTCTATAATGACACTTAACCTTTATGGAATTCTTACTTCTACTACTGTACTAGTTACAATATCTGGGATGGAATTTAAAGTATTTACTAGTAGTTTGAAAGGTGGATAGAATTTTTTTTTTAATCGGTGACAAGTCCTTCTGTTATAGTACGTGTGTCACCAATCGATAGTTAAATAAAAAAGGTACATCTTAAGGGGACCAGATAGTAATATCCATAGTACCAATTAGTCACACTTTCTGGTATCCATTTTTAAGACCAAGCAATTAGCATGAATTGAAGTACAATAATACAAACCTGTTATTAAACATTATTCATAGAAGATGAATTTTATCTGGTACAATAATGCAACATCCCAGTGTTTATAATGATAATTAGAACGTGACTAAGGTGTTGACATAACTGTACAAATAAAAGTGTTTAAAGTGGCCATTATTTTATTGAAGAAAATGTTTTCTGCGTTTTTCATTTTCCGCGTGTCATCGCCGTAATTATTACGGTATCTTATTCAAAAGCTCCACCTTATTCGAACATTTCAAGTCTGTTGGCTGAGAAGGAAGCTGCTCCACGCATTTTACAGGCATCTCATCGAGCGTATCATCGCTCGCTCTTGCTTAGAACGCCCCCGGGACTTTTGAAGGACAATCCAATTTCCAAGGCCGGCTTTATGTTACGAAGATATTGTTTTCAAGGGGATTCCGGTACGGTTCGTTGAGAAGTCTCGATTTCCGACTGCTTTTTCCGCGATCTTGTTCCACGCGCCACAAACGATCGAATATCTCCCATAAGTTCCATCCCTGGGAATGAAATTATTCCTCTATTCGAAATCCTGACAATCACTAACTCGTTAATATTTTAATTATGCTTCAGTTTCTGAGATAATTTTTCACAGGATTCTGTTCTCAAGATGAGAGTGATACAGCATTTGTAAAAATCTGTTATTAATACCTGAGAATGCGGAATTTTAAATCTAAACTTTTAAAATAGTCCTTCGAGATATGATAGATTTAGTGTTAAATCGTTTGTAGAAGTATTTAAAATTGAACACGGGATTTTAATTGGAAAATTTGAAAATTGGCCTTAAATTTGTGTCAGGTTTACTATTAAATCATTTGCATAAGTGTCAATAGAGCGTAGATTGTAACTCAGAATAATTCTAACGGTCTTTATATCGCAATATATTCGAGTGAAAGTTATCAAAGAGATTTGTTGTAGTCTTTATTTCGGTTGCTGTACAAAATTACTATCATTCTGAATTATGGTACTACCCTGTATAACATTTGTGAAGCTCTTATTCCACGTTATTCAGTTAGTCGTTACTGATCAGGGTTTATTCGATTTGAATTTAGGGTATTATTAAGTCGACACGTAATAAATGATATTCACGATAATTATAAAAACTAGTCGTGTATCTAGAATTACTTGACCCGCAAATATTAATTGAAAATTTATTCAATTAAATATTTGCGTTTGAATGCACGCATAGCAGATAACATTTAGTCGGAAAGTGATAGCTGAAACGCGTGCCAAAGTTCCTATATACTCGCAGAGGTGTACAATTCATTATGTATTTTAAAACCTTTTGTCGTATATGTACTTTTTTTATCGAACTTTTTCGACACTCGCTTCTGGATACTGGGAAACTTCGTTTTTCACGACTCGATTAAATATCATATTTTATTCGCCCGTTTAAATCCATCTATAACAAAAGGCAATTAATCATAAAATAATGGACGATACGTGTGCCAAAATTCCCATATTTAGTCTTTTTCACCGGATTTTGTCATCTGAAATATTTCTGCTGTATTTAAAATTTCATAAAAATGATTTTGCGTAAGCTACAGAGAGCTGATGTATAGTGATAAATATTTTACATCGATAACAGAGATTAATAAGGTACGAAGGTCAGTTTTTGTTTCTACAAAAAAAAAGAAAAAAGAAATAGCAAATAAATAAAAAGAATTTTTTATTTTTCAATATCACCAAACGTATAAGTAACGCGAATGATTATTACTTGGTCCTGATATTAAATGCATGCCTTTGTTTTGCTCCTGGGCATTCCTAAAATGCTGAATTAAAATGCAGAAATAAAATGCTATTTTTGAAAATTTCATGAATTCAGTTTATTATTAACCTCACTCAATAAAATATAATTACTCATCCTAAATATTGCTTCCCAAAAAGTTGCAAGTCTTTTATGAAGAGAAAGACTGTCGTATATTACATTTGTATCTCCCGCCGTTACAAGTGTGCCGCCATCTTAATATCCTTCGCTTTGTCACGTGATGTTATATCGGACCCAGTCGTCTATATATCTCGAGAATCGAAAAGGTTAGAGTCAATTTCTTTCTTCTTTCTCTTGCAAAATATAGCTGTTTACATTTCTTTTTGGGGGGAATTTTTGTAAGTCTATTAACAAAGACATTTCCAAGAAATTTTTAATACAGTATAATATATCACATGGTAATGTTAGATGTAACATCATCTTTTCCTATCTAGCTAGATAAAAATGTTCCTTGATCTTCATTTTAAATAATTTATTTCCTTCTATAAACCTCTAGGTTTCTCTGTTTTTTAACAGTAATTGGAGACAGTGAGTGAGAAAAGTCGTTGCCAATCTGAACCCGTAGGAAATCTTTTTATCAAATATTTCCATCCTCCACAAACAAAGGAATGTAATGTAAATCTCATAGCTCTCTTCTCTAACCTCTTCCTTGCCCGCGGCTACTCTTTTTCTTTCGACAGTGGACCGGGTGCATCGTTCTTATCTTCTAATTTATTTTCGAAGTTTCGTTATCCTGGTCAGCTTTCAGCCGCTAGATGCTTTGTCGCCACTGTCGAGCCAGTCGTCGCGTAACGAGCACTTCCGGCGCCCCGCATACGATGCTTCTTGAAGTTTAAATTACTCGAGCTCGATGGCTCTTTGGCTGCGAAAAAAGTTCGTCAACAGGTGCGTGTGGGCTCGAGTGTCGCGATTTAACTTACAATTTTTCAAACTTTCGCGCCAGTGGCGGCACGCGTAACTTAATTGCGTTGAATCAACGAAGAACTGTCGCGGATTGCGCGTTTAAGTCCATTTCATCGCGATGAACTTGCAACCAGCCTGTTAAAAGAGTAAATCTTTTTTCACGTCATTCATGGTTGACCGATTCCATTCGTTTTTCACGGAAGCACGCGTGTGCCGCTTGGTTTCGCGTAAAACTGAACAGATTCCTCCGAAGGTGAACACAGTTTTTTGAATTTACGGTACATTGGAAACCTCAATTTTTCGTAATTCGTGTTCCTGTTTTCGTCAAAATTCGTGACATTGCCGTTTATTTTTCTATTCTAACCTCTCGTAAAAATTCATCGACCCTGTCTATCTCTTTTCACAAAGAAGGTATGTTTTTAGAACAGTTTCTTGTATACTTTAAAGCATACATTTTATGTGTCTACATTTCCTTTTATTTATTTTATGTAGGTTGTCCCACAGGGTTTTTGCATAAA